CACACACACACATGCACAATAATAGTGTATTCATTCCAAAGAAAGAAACCTTGCTTGTGTCCCCCAGTTTAACCCCAGTCTCCAAATACCTGCAACATGCTGTGCGTGCAACCGAACCGATTTGGCTGACGTGGCGCATACTTGAAAAGGAACTTTGACCTCTACCCGGCATGTCAATGTTCGAATCTGAATCATTAAGTTTCAATTTACACGTATTTCCCGGAGTATTTAATTTTTTTTTCAGCCAGACAGCCTGGGACACGCTCATATGACATTCTGCAGTTGCGAGCGCCGTAAAACACTTACCAAAACAAAAATAAGACTTCCTGAAGAGGCACCAAATATTTTGTCTTTGAAATAATAGGCTACTCTGTGTGTCACGAGACGGTGGAATCGCTCGCTCGTCAGTTTTGGGGCATGTGGAGCTATTATTTTTGGGCATGTGCAGCTATTATTTTTGGGCAAGTGGAGTCATTATTTTCGTTCAAGTGGAGTCATTAGTATCATCTTAATCAAAGCTTGTTCATTTGCCCTATTTTGATTGAAAAAAACAACAACAAAAAACAACAACAAACAAACACAATCTATCTTGAATAGAAATCGGGATATTTACGATAGAAGGAGGTGACGGTTGCCTGATTTCAGAGGTGAAATTAGTGAGAAAATGTTCGCCAAAGTTCGATGATTCCCATGGCTTCAGAGTCCTTGGAAATGGCAAGATTACTTGTTTATACTTTTAATCAAAGTTTTTCAGTTTAAAAAAAAATCCATACAAAAATGTCGTTGTAAATGAAAGTAAAAGGGTGTTGACAGAACCCCCCACCCCACCGCACCCCAACAAAAAACAAAACAAGCAAAAAACAAAACAAAAACAAGCAAAAAACCAAAAACAAAACCAAACAAAAAGTATGTCATATTTTTTACAAATCAATGAAAATTGCCATAACGAGTGGAAAAATGCCGGTTTCTTCTATTTCATTTTCATAATTTTCACATGAGCCAGATTTTACCGCTCGCTGCCTCGCATCTGTGTCCTCTAAAGTTTTGAATGTTGTACTATGAGAATCATAGAAGAGATCATCTCCTACTTACCTTCAGAGAGAACTCAGCAGAATCCTTCCTGACGCCAGATTTGTCGAGACTGTAGCTCTCTATGTTGACCGTATTGTCCTCTGTACGAGTCACCCAGAGGTCAAGGTCATTTCCCCTGGAGTTGACCTTGACAATGACGTGGTCGGGAATGGAAGCTACTGACAGCCTGTGTCTGCGCCTGTCACTGCTGAAGGCGGATATCACAACAGGCTGCACAATATCTAGGGAATCAATTTTAAAAAAGAAAAGAAAAAGAAATATAAGATTGCGTTAGTATACACCTGTCCCCGTGGTTTTATGCACCCCGCATAATTTAGCAAAACTTGATCATTTTTTGCATAATTTCTGATTATTTGGTTTATCCTTCTTTGTTAAAATCAACAGAATCGCATAATTTCACATTTTTGCGCTCAGTTTGCATAATTTCAGAATTTTGTGTGTGCATAAAACGACTGAGACAGGTCTACACCCAACCCATCTTATCAATTGAGCATCACATGTGTTTTGTGTCAGTGAATCATGTTTTTCACTACTTTACTTTTACTTTTTCATCCTCTGTTGTCGTCGAGGGGAGGTGCAGGTTTCTATGATGAGCCAGCTCCACAGCTCTTTCTTCTGGGATATTATAATTTCTCAGGGTTTCCTACTTTTGCGTGGCCTTCGTCTTCCTTTATAGCCTGGTCGCTTGGTGTTATAGGCTCTCGAGGCTGGCTGGCTAGGTGACATACGAAAATGGTAGCTAAACTATTTTATCCTCTGTCTTTCCATGAAATGCAGGCGGGACTCTGTGCCAATAGCAGTTCTTACTTCTACTTCAGCCCCGATCAGCTATGGTGGCAGGCAGAGTCAAGACGGTCAAAGGAGACTTTACAATTTACAACATCAATCAATCATAGTACAGAAAAAAAACAAGTCCAACTAACCTGCATTCTTAGACAGCCTGGAATCAAACAGGCCTAAACCATCGGCTCTGTATTCTGTCATTGTCAATAGTGTCAGGAGAAGGCTCAGACTCAGACGCATAATTCAGTGAGAACGATGATCCAAAACTGTAAAAAAAAGTTTTTAGACACGTTTGCGAGTATCATTTTGCAACTGCATTCTATGAACAGCAGGTGGAAGAGAGGAAAAGGTTACGGTACGAGTGTTGTTGTCTTCGTCGTTGTTGTCATCATTATCGTCATCATTAATTTTTGTTGCAGGTTCGAATGACTGAAGGAATAATAACTTTTAAAATTGTAACATATTCGGTTTGTTTGATGAAAACAAGCGTCCAAATTGCCCTATTACCCCCTTTATAAAGACAACGATGATGGTGATGAGAAGAACGATGGTAATGTTTTCTTGGATCTCCTTTTTTTGTTCCTCCTGTTTATATTTCATGGTAGAGTCTGTTCCTTTCCCCTTCCCCGGATTAATTAATAAAGCATGCCCTGCTTTAAGCATCCGTGGATTTATTTTGTCTTCTAATATTTCGAGGTGCTCTTTTAAAATTGTTTCACCATTTTAATGTCCTTTTCACTGGTTTTATTTACTTTGAGACTGTCGGGGTTTTTTTTAGTTGTCCAAAACGACACGAGTTTAAAGCAGAAAGTGAATGTTGAGACTGCCATGTGAATGGTCGTGGTTTAAATCCTCAACTGGACAGTTTCAAATTGTGTTTTGGAGTTTGTATTGCACTCATATCTACCGTTTTGTTGTATCAGAGAATGACGTAATATCAGAGCTACCGTTTCTTAGATAACCTAACTTTGCTGAAAAGGGCGTTAAAGCCAAAACATGTCTCACTCTCTGCTCGATTAAATATTATTTACGTTCCTCGTTACTAGCTAGACTTAACACTTCATTCTTTTTTTAACACTAGCGAGAGGAACAGGATGCATCTCATGCCCCTATCAACACTATCCGTACGCCCTGGAGTCATTTAGTACCCCCGGGGGTTGTGTTCTTCCCATTTTAGAATACTTCTAGTAAGAAGATCTCTGTGAAACTTTCAGTATTTCTCAAAAAAACATTTTGACAGACTGCTATGCAAAACGTACAGATCAGATTAACAAGTAAATTTCCTCTGCGGAAAGTGGTAGTACAGAGTTTCCAGCGATAGTAAAACACGACGTACGGGTAGCGTTAAGTGGTGGCACAGAGTTCTCCACGTCGTATGGATACGATTGTAAAACACGACGTACGGACAGGGTTAAGGGGTGGCACAGAGTTCCCCACGTCGTATGGATACGATAGTAAAACACGACATACGGACAGGGTTAAGTGGTGGCACAGAGTTCCCCACGTCGTATGGATACGACGGTACAGCACGACGTACGGGTAGCGTTAAGATGAGAGACTTGCCCGCCTCCGACAGTACCGAGCCAAGAGGGTGGAGAGCCTTGAAAACGTCCCAAACATCCCACTCAAGAACACCCGTCCGTGGAATCGAACCTGGGCCATCCACATCGTTAGCCAGCATCATACGAACAAGCTATTGATATGGTCATTGAGACAAGCCCCTTCTATCTAAACTCGAATCTCACAAAAACATCATGAACATTTTAGTGTCATTTGAATCGAAACCCCAGTATCTGAAAGGCAGGGTAAAACAGCCGTCTTCAAAATGTGTAATCTTGGTTATATTAAATGGGTTCTGGATTGTGTTTCTTATTCTTTCAGACACATCATCCTAGTTTCCCCGAACGCACCGGCTATGAAAATGAATTGATTATTTTGTGTCCGTCTTACAATGCTTTCAAACAAAGAAGTTTGCTTTCTACTAAAATAAACAACAAAAAACAAAAAAAAAACTACACGGAGTTCTCAACAATCTCCAGAGAGACCAGCTTTCTGTTGTACGCTACATTTCCTTGAATTTGAATCTTAGATAGAAACCAGGAGTTCTGTTTAAAAAAATATTACGAAAACAATGAGTGTCGTTTATACAACTGACGGTAGTACCATCATACTTTTAAAGCAAACTACGTTGTACAACGAATTGAAAGCTATAGTATATATATAATATATAAAGCACATTCTCAATAAACAACTGCTTACCTTTGTTGATTTGAACGTGGTTGTAGGTTTTTACATCCCCTCTATAAACAGCAACACTACACCTGGCGCGAGGAGCGTAACATGTAGACACTATTATTCCGTCCCCGTGGTTTTATGCACCCCGCATAATTTATCAAAATTTGATCATTTTTTGCTTAATTTCTTATTATTTTCCTTTACCATTTTTTGTTAAAATTTACAGAATCGCATAAGTTCACTTTTTAAAAAAACCTCAGTTTGTATAATTTCAGAATTTTTGTTTTCATAAAATTAAAACCATGGGGACAGTTTTATTATTACATGTATTATTCTCACCCTTTCCCTGTAATTTTTACACACAACACAGATCTACAGGGCTACACACTTTTTTACTCCACGAATGCCACTGTTTTAGTTTTAGTTTATTCACACCTCGGTCAGTGGGGAGGCAATGGTGGCGGTCAAGCGAGAGACAAGGAATATAACATTATGCATGTATTCATATCATAGTGGATTGGTGATGGGATTAGTTGACCAATGAATGCAATCCTTGGCTTATATTATATCCTGCGGCAAAAGTGACATGGAGTCCCAAAGAAGGGCGTAACTCTGCTTATTAAAATTATAGAAGTGTGCGCTTGAAGTGACTCGACGTACAGTGAAGTCACTCAGAATCCAAACAATGTAAACAGTGAAGTCACTCAGAATCCAAACAATGTAATGAATAAGTTTTTAGTTAAGTTTTAGTAAGAGTTTTACTTTATGGCACTTGCAACACAATAAGGTCATGTAAGTGCCGAAGATTAGAGGTGTTACAAGAGAGTAACACTAACAAACACACAAATAAGGAGGAGAGATAAAGACGATAGATGTTTGATAGAAAAGAAGGAAAAAACCACACCAGAGCACCCGCCAACAAACCACATGAACTAGTTTGATTTTTAGAGGATTGGATCAGATTGTGTCAAAGTCAAAGTGGTAGCATTTCGCCCTCAATGATTGTGATAATGACATGGCGTGATACTTGATCCACCTTAGGTCGGAATGATGTCTGCAGTGGGCAGAGCGATTCATTAATTATTAACCGTTATAACATAGACACCTGTGGTTGCGCTGGAGAAGTGTGTAGTCGATTGCATTCGCGTATGTATGTAGAGAAATAAATCTTTGGTGAGATTAGAAAGGCTTTTGTCCAGCGACGTCTCTGGGCATGTTTGCATTTTTTGGTTTTCATTTCTTTTACTAAGGAGCTCTAGCAAAATGACAGATTATAGAATATATTATATTAAAATATAATAATATGCATAAATGCATCTGTTGTAATGCTGTACTGCATTGTCGATCGAGTGTCTTCGTTGTCTCCTTCTGTTTCTCAGACCAGATTGTCTTGTACTGTTTGCTCGCAGTTGGTGGGTCTGTGAACATTCTTGAGATGTGGCTGAGCTACATGCATTTTTAACGATCTTTTAGTTTTAGTTTTAGTAAGAGTTTTACGGCACTTGCAGAACAATAAGGTCATATAGGTGCCGAAGATTAGAGGTGTTACAAGAGAGCACAGTAACAAACACAGAAAGAAGGAGGGGAGATAAAGACTTTAGATGTTTGATAGAAAGAAAAAGCAAACACCAGAGCCCCCGCAAGTTTGGCAAAGAGGTTTTGGATACTTCAAATCTTGAATTTTGTTTTTCACAGGAACCTCTTCCAAAATAGCCAGTAATCAGAATCTTGTTTTTCAGATATAATTCAGAGACACCTGGAAAACCTTTCAGGACCACAATTCGAAAATGTCACAAAACGACTGGAAAATACAATATTGCAATTTTCTACTTGCTCCTGTTAAATTTTGTTATAATAAGAGTTTTGCAGCGCTTGCATCAAAATAAGGCAACATATAAGAGAAGAGGATTAGAGATGTTAAAAGACAGTAACATGATATAAAAAAACCCCCAAAAAACAACCCCAACCCCGAAACAATTACAAACACAATGGTGTCAGTAGCATGTGAAAGAAGTAGAAGCCCATTAAACATTTTCTCCTAAAAAAACAACAACATGAAGAGCCATAAGGTCGATAGATGTTTGATAGGAAAGAAGGAGCAAACCACACAAAGCACCTGCCAGCCACCCACGTTCCAATTAGAGAGATGAAGATTAAAAGTATGAACATAACACGTTGAAACTTTAACGTAAACTCTACTCAGGGAACGAAAAAAGTAGCCTAGACCACTCTAAATTGTTCTTATAATTAGAAATCAAGTAGAATGGACTTGAATCTGCCGTCATGCTAACCTCGTACCGGGCCACACGTCGGTGAAATGTTTTTAATAGAGGTTTTGTTTTACGGCGCTCGCAACTACATAAGGTCATATGAGCGCCAGAAGATTACAGGTGTTACAAGAGAGTAACAAACATGAAAAAGAAGAGGGGGAGATAAGGACCATAGATGTTTGATAGGAAAGAAGAAGCAAACCACACCAGAGCACCCGCCAACCACCCATCCGGTGAAATGTGTTGAAAAGCGATTGACACAATGAAAAACAAAAAATTATTGCTTTTATTATTATGAGGTTTGTTCGGAAAATAGGTAAAAATGCGCTCAGAATCAAGATGAAGAACTGTACTTTGATCAAAACAATCGCAATAAAATTTTCACAAGACATGCTGACATTATAGAACTACTTTTTCCATGTCGTCACATTTAAAAATCGATGAATTTTACTCATGGATGGATGAATGAGAGAATAGACGCCCCTTTGAAGAAATACCCGTCAAGATTGTGTAACCAAGCGTTCACTTCGTGGATTAGCTAAGTCTTCGTCTTCGTCAAAATCTTTTGAGGGGTCCAGAGAGACGGTAGACAGAACGGCCAGAGAGATGGTAGACAGAAAGGCCAGAGAGATGGTAGACAGAAAGGCCAGAGAGACGGTAGACAGAAAGGCGAGAGAATTGGTAGACAGAAAGGAGCAGATCAGGACAATGAAGCGGATGTAGCAAAATCTCTCAACTGTACTAAGTTTTGGAATCC